TTATTATAATAAATTACAAGATTGATTTCCATGGACCATGATCCATGTTGATAATATTTTGCTCAAGATAAATATTACACCATATTTTAAGTTCTAATCCTAATATTAATTTTTTTCACAAATATTCATTTTTATCCAAAAATATTTATAGAAAATCATAACATGTTAGGTATTTTTTTTTTCCAGCTAAGCAAACAAAATTAAGTTGTGAATTAGTCTTTGCCAATATATTTTTTTCTTAAGCTTTATTTTGTTAAGTATAAAAAATATTTTTTTCTTCAAATTAATATAATTTACCATTTATGAGATAATGACTAGATAGATTAAATAGGTTTACTAATGGTAAAAAAATTAAAATTGAAATGTATTAACTATTTTTTAATATTTATTTGTATATTATTGGCACTCATGATTTTTTTTTTTATTTTTTTTATTTTGACTTATTTATATAATTAAATTCTTGTAAAATATATTTTCATTGCAAGGTGTGCTAAATAAACTATAAATCCTTATAATGTGAACTAGTACGTACCCCGTGCGATGCACGGGACATAGATATTAAATTAGTTATTTTCACAGGCTTAGGCTTTGTCCGTTTAAGTATATAAAACAATAGAGTTATCATCTATTTTTCACCTCTTTTAATTACATTAAGTGTATAAACAATAAAATTATAATCTATTTTGCACTCTTTTTTAATCAGAATTGTCTTTTTAGTCGAAACATTAAATATGAACATGTTAGGGCTAGTTTGTAAATTTATTAATATATTATCTCAATAACAAATCTATATATATAAAAAGATTTACTATTTTTTTAAAATAGTAAGTTAAATCTTAGTCAAACTCCTATTAGCATTTATTACATGCCATTTATAGTAACTTATATTTATTATTGTTTAGAAACTCAAAATGTCGCCCTAAAATATAGAATTTGTTATGTTTTTTATTTAACAGAAAGTCGGCTTGCAATAATACTTCCCTTAAAATTTAGAATCTAGATAAATATGGTTAATATCCTATACAAAACTGTTTAACGTAACTATCGGATTTATCATATATTGTCGCATTTGTCTTGATTTTATTGAATCTATGCAATACTATGCACATTCTTCACTTAATTGAGATGGATGCCCATTATTTGACCAAACATAAATCTATCTCAAACATGATTTTATAATATAAATAATTAAAATCACAATACAATTATCATTCCCATATCTCATCCGCTATTGTCAAGGCTTTATTGTGGTTGAAGAAATTTCATACTAAATAGTCCTAAATGTAATTAGGTAACTCTGTGTTACATCGTATAAATATAATATATTCATACATTTTTTTATATATATTTGAAAAAATTCAATACACATACTATATATTTTTTTATTCAACATATTATATATGTAGATTATTACAGTACATATAAATTAATGAACTAATTCTATAAATGCTTATTTATTGATTAAATTTAATATAATTTTTTTATTTCAAAACCGATTAACATATATATTGAGTTGCTCATTTTACAAAAATCATCATTATTGTCACTCATTATTTTTAAAAATAGTGGATCTTAATGTTGAGAAGTAGTCAAGTTATTAACTAAAAATTGTTATTTAATATCAGCTCACAAATTTCAATAGAGAATCGAACAAATAAAAAAATGTTAGTAGCTGTAACAAAAAATTATTTAAGTTTGGTGGTTAGTTACTGCAGAAAAAGTCATCTTTTATATCTCTAGAACACATATCAAAGATTTTTTTTTTCGAAAAGATAGATAATATTATAAATCAAAGCACATATCAAGGATAACTTTGAACAAAAATTAAGAAAGATAGCCTATTTATAAACAATTAATAAAAAACAAACAAACCAATTTTGTGTCGAACCTGAAACATTGCAATTAATATTTAAAAAAAAGTAGAAATTATTAAGAAAAAGTTTACGTTTATTTACAATCTTATTTTGATTTATTTGATGGTCAACCTAATGACTGTTGAATGTAATTTTTTGTTTTATTTGGAAAAAATTGTAAAATATGGAATATAAAAAGGGAAGATGGGAGAGAAATTAGAGGGAATCATTAAATTATGTTTCAACTTATAAATTATTCAACTCAATATTAAGGAAGTTATATGATTAAAACTAAAAACATATTTTATTAGTATAGCTGGGAATGTAAAATAACTATCTACATAGAATAGGAATGAAGAGTTAAAGTAGGAATAAAATATAATTTATAATACAGTTAGAATTAGAAAAGTGGTCCAAGCGTGGGGGCAATTTTTTCGACGACAACAATCAACATCCGCAGCCTAGGAGAGAAGTCCAGCAAGGGAGCCCAGTTGAGTGAGGCCCAGTTTCCGCAGCCCGCGTTCAGCCCGAGTCAGCCCGTGCTCCTCACAACAGTTATCCAATTATCAAACTCATAATGTTGTGTACAAAGAAATTTTTAATAATATAAAATTTTTTCGTGACGAACATTTTATGATGAATAATGTCCGTATGTATTAAACTCTCATATATCATATGCATGTCAAATTATAATATTCTCTAAATTTATATATCCGTGCATTGCACGGGATACACACTAGTTTATACTAATATGAATTTTATTTTAGTATATGTATTTATTCTTTGATATAAGAGAGAATAACAATTTTACTTATTCTTGTTCACCATATAATACTTAATTACTTATTTCTTGACCAAGATCTTTCTAATTCACATTATAAGAATTTATAGTTTATTTAGCACACCTTGCAATGAAAATATATTTTACAAGAATTTAATTATATAAATAAGTCAAAATAAAAAAATAAAAAAAATCATGAGTGCCAATGATATACAAATAAATATTAAAAAATAGTTAATACATTTCAATTTTAATTTTTTTACATTAGTAAACCTATTTAATCTATCTAGTCATTATCTCATAAATGGTAAATTATATTAATTTGAAGAAAAAAAATATTTTTTATACTTAGCAAAATAAAGCTTAAGAAAAAAATATATTGGCAAAGACTAATTCACAACTTGATTTTGTTCGCTTAGTTGGAAAAAAAAAATTTACCTAACATGTTATGATTTTCTATAAATATTTTTGGATAAAAATGAATATTTGTGAAAAAAAATTAATATTAGGATTAGAACTTAAAATATGGTGTAATATTTATCTTGAGCAAAATATTATCAACATGGATCATGGTCCATGGAAATCAATCTTATAATTTATTATAATGAATACCAATGAAAGTATTACAAATGTTAAAAAAAATATTTATCTTGTCCAAAATATTATCAACATGAATCACGAAAAATCAATCTTGTAATTTATTATAATAAATATCAATGAAAATATTGCAGATATTAATAAATTTATTTAAGTAATTTATTGATCATATCTTATTTGATCTTATTTGAAAACGTGTATTTGGAAATGGTAATTCTTATTATATATATATATATATATATATATAGATTTTTGATTTTTAGTAATATAATATCAACCTACCAGGTTTACTATTGCGAGAATGAATAAAAAAGTTTGAATAGCAATAATGAATCAAAATAACAATAAAATTCGGGTGTAGAAAAAAAAAAAGAATAAAGGATATGAATAAATTAAGTGAATAGCAAATATGAAACATCAACAAAATATTAACAAAAACAAATAATTTTTTTTATTCAATCAACCTAATTTCTTAAACCATGAAATCTAATATTCAAACAAAACTATTAATCCATGGAAAAAAATTACAATTAACGTGAACAATATTTGTTCATATTATTGCAGATTCCAAAGCTGGGTCATTAAAATGAGGTGCTTGCTTCTAATATGA